AAAATAACATACAAGCATATTTCCTTCTGAGATTTAATCCCCCCCCCCCGCCATACCACTGTAATTCAATTAGGGCTAATTCAGAAGGGGGAATCGGGTCTGAGAAAAACACCGGAGATCTGAGCAAGGCTCCTGGTTGAAGCTGGAACCAGTTCCAGAATATGAGCTGAAAGTCCCTTTTGAAGGACCCTTCATCCCCTTCCTCCCCTTGCCATATCACTTCACGCAAGCCCCTTCCTGCAGATCCCCCCAGGTAGTCCTTTTCAAATTGTCGGATTGCATATTGAATATCTTTCTTCTGCTGGAATTTGCCTAGATGAAATAATTGACCAATGATATCTAATTTCTGTTTGTACAAAATTAGCAATAAGCGTTGGCGCAGATCACGACTTGCGATCTGAGCATTAGCAAAGCTCATGGTACAGTGGTGCCATCCTGAGGTGACTCCCCAATGGATGGGTCCTTGCAATCCATCTCACCTCCCAATGGACGAGTACTACGGGCACCTCCGGAAGCCTGGCCGCCACCCTCTACTACATCCTGGACTTTATTTGACGATATATATATACATATATAAATTGCACGTTTCAAATTCGTGCCACAACGACAGGGCCATTTAAGATATTCTTGCCCATTTGGCAGGCACTTACCGGGGTGATACGAGCATCCCCGGGAAGTGAGCCTATGGAGTAGGCTCCATGTATTGGTGGGGAGCGGCACCTGCTGGAAAACGGGCCCAGCGTCCCTGGTACATGATACCAATCAGTCCAGCAAAATGATCCAAGAAACAAGGGGAGCAGTCGTTATCACGGCCGCCAGAAAGTGCGTTCCTACCTAGCAGACCTGTCTACACCTTGAATACTGATCTTGCATTATGAGATTAACCATGGCTACGATCCGGATGCCCGGACCGCCGTCCAGATGGTCTGGATTCATTCCGGACTCCAGACGTCCGGTCCGGAAGGTCTGGATCTGCAGGAAAAAAAAAGAAAAAGGGTTCAAGACCTTTCCCCACTGAAGAGTCGAGCCCCCAAAATTGTTTTGGGGATTTTTCTGGACCCTTTTTCTTTTTTTGGGGGGGGGTATGGACATGGTCTATCTATGTAATAATTTATTACTAATACCGAAGTAATGAATTATTCATAATTTGTTACTTTTTTAAGTCTTTTTTAAGTTTTTTATAATTTTTGACTTTTAAGTTTTAACCTAGGTTACCAATGGTCCGGAGATCGGATGTCTCCACCGGACGTCTCCCCCGGACGGACGTCTCCCCACCCTCGTCGTCCGGATTTCCGGACGACGCCTTTTTGGCACCAAAAAAA